TTGCAGTTGGGAAGAAGTGAACAACGGAACAAAAGACGCCACTGAAGACGTGTCACCTGGAAAAGCCACTGTCGAAGAAGAAACTCTACTCGGTTTTGAGAAGGGAAACAGTGAAGCCCTTGATGAAGTTACTACCACTGATGTGACTATTACAGATAATAGGACATTTCCTGATGGAGCAGATGAACCCTACGTGAAGCAGAAGCCAACGAGATGGAGGCCAGTACGGAAGAAGATACGTCCTGTAAAATTAGGAGACTTTGTTGAATTTTAATTTTGTGTTTGTAAATTCTGTACATTTAATTAAGTTATTGTTAATGATCTATTGGTTTAATTTAAGTGGATATTGTTCGGGACGAAGAATACTAAGGAAGGGGCAGTGTTACGACAGCGGAGGTCACGTGACCCTGGTAACACGTAATGAGTATCTAGAAAGATCGAGGAACTTGTCGAATGTTCTAGCGGTTTCTAGAATTGCGCTCTTATAGTATAAAAGCCGGTAAATAAAGTGACAGCAACAACTGAATAGCAGACAGAGAGATTGGAGATATAGACGGACAATTGAGTCAAGCGCGGTGGTAAGTAAAGTGCACGAATTGTAGGGTGTGTTTAAGTTAAAGAGACTCTGGAAATTAAGTGTATTGCAAAGTTGAATTGAGAAAAAATAAACTAGGTTTATTTGAGAAAGGACTTGTATCGCTGAAGTTTTTGGTAAATAATTTTTACGAGTAATTAACTAACGACCACAGACGTAACAAAACAAATGCCTAAGTCCTCAATTTTAGCAGCTCAAATTAAAAGTTCTAATGATATATGTGGTGACTAGCTTTATTTGTGGTGTAATACCTAATGGTTATTTTTTATAACTGCATTAAATTGAAACTAGTGAAATATGAAATAGTTGTTATCGTTGGAAAATCTTGAATAAATGCATTAATACATTTCCTATATTTTTCTATTGTTTTCTTTGGTGCTTTCTGTAACCAATAGGAACAGGTTCATATGGATATGACGTCATTGTGTTTTGGTATCAAAAGACGTAACATGTAGCTTGAATTAATCGTCTTGTCAGGTTTGTGCAGAGTGAACAAAGCAGAAAGGTTAGTTTTCATTTGGGTATTCGTATTTGTTAAGAACAAATTTTGTATTAATTAGTATTTCGTTCTGTAAGTATTTCATTAACTGTTGTATTTATAACGATATTCTCAAACCTTGTTGTCACCACGTCACGCAACGAGCTATATATTATTGTCGCGTATCAGCTGATATTGATAATGGCTTTCGAGTGGATTCTTTGTTTATGATCTTCGACACGAGTCTCATAACGATAAAGAAGCACCTTTCGTTGTTAATGCTTTATAATCAGGAAATTTGTCGCCAGAAAGAAGAGTGACGTGGAAAAAATTATAAACAGTATGTTTTATGTATTGTTTTGTTTTAGTACTTTGCTACAATTATTGAATATTATAAACAATACTAAAACGGTTATTATTTAGGTTTTGCGCATAAACTTAGGTTAATGTAAGAGGTAGGCCAAAAACTTGAAAACGATTGCTTGTTCTAGTTCAACCTTATATAAAATTATTTTACAGTTTGACGCGTCGTGATAGTATAATCAGATCTTTATTGTATAAACCTGCATTCTTTGGAGTGGTGGAGGAGGGAGTGGGTTATGTAAATAGTTGGATGAGTGCTCATTATATTTACTTAGACCAGCATTTTATATTTTTTTTACAGTTTCAATACATATATTGAAACGTATAATCAAATACATATACACTAACATTAAATGATCTGTTGAAAATGCAGTAAAATAAACATTTGTGAAAGTTTCATTCATATTGTTTATTATGTATATTTTAATAGATAAAATGTGAAAATCATACAATATTTAATATTTACTTTTACATTAATTCTCCTTCTGTAACTCTTTTTGAAAATAAAAATTGTCTATTTGAATGACAGATTAACTATTCAGATATTTGATTTTACTATTTAACAAGTAACATATTTTTTTCAGTTTGTATATGACAGGAATTTCAGAAGCCCAGGTTATTAAAAAACACCTTTGTTTTGTGATACACCAAGCTAGTTATAACTTATATATGAATATAAATATGTACAGAAGTGTACAGATACACTTATCTCATTCCGGAACAGTTGGTCAGTAAAACTTTCTCAAAAAGAGGATGATATTGTTTAAAAATGAAAGTTATGGCTGTAATTTATTTCTGCTGGCATTTCACCAATTTTGTAACTGTTAAAACCTTTTTTTTGTAGCTTTGTATTATTTGAAGACAAAGTATATCTAATTTAGGTCAGTAGTTCTTAGTTTGTGACTTTATGATAAAACAAGATTTTTTATATTTATTCATTAAAAAACGTGTGAAATAGAGGAGTCTTTTAAATTTAGCCTTACTATATTCTAAACTGTTTACTATAGCCATGCTTTATCATAAACAGGCATTCCAAAATTGATAACTTTTTTTTATGTTCATGTTACAGATATACCACAAATAATCATAATTGACTAAAAAAGGAGATTAAAAATTGTTGTGGAAAAATAAAAGTGTATTATGCATCTATTTAGTTTGTAGTTAAAAAAAATATAACTGTGTTCTTTCTGAAACTTAAACAGTCTTATTAGACTAGCTTTCATTTTTCTAATTTAAATAATACATGCAGACTTCTGTTTACTTCTTGGTCTGAGAGAATCTGAGGTGCAGGTTGTAATGAAAATGTTTCATTTTACTGTGTGCAATATTGAATATAAGATGTTTTCATGTTATCCTGGAAACTTTAAAATCTCCAAAAACTGCTTTTCAAACAGTAGACTCATACTTTTTTTTTATCCCTACTTGATGTACAGGTACATCGTGACTGTACAGCACACACCCTTAGTGACAATGATGAATGAACAATGTAGTATTTTACCATTATACCAAGAAATATTATTTTTCATTACCAATAATGTGTAAGTGGTCACCATGACAACCAAAAATCCTGGCTTCTGACACTACTGTTATAATGATCTTTCCATTGAAGTAAAAAAAAAGCATATTGCTTACTGCATGGCAAACTGTATATCTCAAATACATATATTTTCACAGAAGTGGTAAATATATATTTTAAAATGTATAAATGCTATTTATAAATTTCTCTTCTCTTCACTAAAATGTGTAATTTTAGCGAAGAAATAATCCATGAATGATGTGGAAGTCTAGTCTATTCCTTGATTTGACAGTCAATCTGCAGTACGCTATTTTTTGCCAAATACATGGGTAATCAGTACTACTTGGGAAAATACCTAAAATATTTTAGGTTATTAGTGAGGAGTAAAGGACTTGAAATCAAAAAACCCTGAAAAAGTACTATTGTACTTTAATTTGAAATAAGAATGATTTTGGTGTTTGCTTATGATATTTTATAATGCTTGAAAATCAAAAAGATTCTTCAGCATAGTTGAATCTTTTAACTCTTAATACAGATATGCTTTCACCATTTAAGCTTCTATATTCAATTTTTTCTTGTAATTCTCCCACATAATAGCTTCTTAACATTTTATATACTCATAGCAGTGTTTACAAAAATCTTAATGATGGAGATTAAGCTTGGTAAACCTATTCATCCATTTTATAAATGAAACATTAAATGTGTATGTTGTTTCTGAAGGAGGATAGAAATTGAAAGAACAAAAACATTAAGAATTACTTAAAGTAAGTTTTAGAATGAGTGTTTTTTCTTTAATATCAACTATATATATATATATATATAACTGTCTATAAATGAATATAAATTGTTTTGCTTGTGTTTGAGAGAGATTCAGAAATAAGTATCCATAAATTTGTTTACATACTTTTCAGACATCCTGCATTTCATAAGAACAGGTAAAACTATATTTAAGATATTTCACCTCAAAAGAATATGAATCAAGATATTCAATGGATAACTTGTATAAATAAACTTTAATGTTACAGTACAACTATTATCACTGATCTTCAAATCCTTGTGTATCTGCCCACTGTTTATTGTCATATATCAAAAATGAAAGAGATGACTTGCATAACTTATCTATCTTTTAACTTCATTTAAACCCTGGGAAAAAACATTAGCTGGTTCTGGTGCTTTATTTATTTTTAATTTCTCAGTCTTTTTATTTACCACCAGGGGATTAATATCTAAGTTATCAGAGTCAGTTCTAATATTTACCATAAAATGTTCAGGGTCAGGAATATTACTAAAATCTTTATAAAAACAGAATAGAACATTTAAAAGCTGAACTGTCTCACAGTCTCCAACAAAAACCTTGGCATCAGTATCCTTTAAGGGTCTAATTCCCATTCTAGTGTTACGACAGCGGAAGTCACGTGATGCTGGGAGCATGCGTGCTGGAGTTTCTAGAAGGATCATGAATTTTCCTGGCAATTCTAGTTTGTTTGAGGCACCATATTTTTTAGTATATAAGCCTGGCAAGAAAAACCAGGGCGATCAGGCAGATAGATAATTGAGTCAAACGAACAGTAGGCACCGTAAGTAAATTGTATGAATCACTGTGATTTATAGCGTCTGTTATAAAGGTTGTTAAGTTTAAAGTGACTGTGGAAATTCTGTGTATTACAAAGTTGTATCGAGAAAGAATAAACTAGTTTTAATTAAGAAAGGACTTGTATCACTGAAGTTTCTCAGAAAGAATTTATACCGGAAATTAATAAACAACCAGATACGTAACACTAGCATACCTTTAACTTATTTAAAAATGCTAGTTTGAAAAGCTACGGTACAAATAAGTTGTTCAACAAATAAATTTATTTTAGTAAAAATTCTGTATTAAAGACATTTTTGTTTTACTTTTATTCTGACATGAAAAAGTTCTAGTATGATGTTTATTTTGATAATTTTTATACTAGGTTTTACCAATATTTTCATACAAAATAAGGCTGAAAATGGGAAGAATTTTCTTATCTCACATTGGAGGCTCTCGACTGTTCTGTTGTGCTAGCTGTGACACCATTTTGACAAATCGCAGTGAACTTATCAGTACCCGTTTCACAGGGGCAACTGGCAGGGCATTTCTGTTCAACCGTGTGGTCAACCTAAATTATAGGTGAGGTGAAAGCTTACAAAGCAGATTATACACATATATTCTCAATACTATAGTAACTGAGTTACAATGAGATTGTACATTTGTACTAAAAATTATGGTTGTGACAAGTAGTAATTTTGGTTGAATATCAGTTATCTGTCTCGTGGTCTGATCAGTGGATATTCTTAGATTGGATTGTACATGTGCCCATACATATTGAAAATGCACTGCAGGCATAAGCTACCACGTAATTCTACTATAATATTAAAGTAGTTATTTCATCAATGTTTTTTGAAAACTTAATAAGGATGTGCATGAGAATGTACAATTCTGTATGAATGAGTGGCCATTGCCCCCCCCCCATTTAAGGGAATGCAGCACATAACACTGTAGAATGGTGCTTTACACCTTGTTCCTCCTATTGAGACTGTTGTTATGATTGTGTTTGCTGTCATGGCCATGACCACCTGTGGCATACAGTGGAAACACAACAAGAGGGTGTTATGTTTATTTAAACTGCTTAATGTCTATTTGTACCACAACTGACAAGGCTTCCACTCTTTAATACCAGGGAAAATGCTACTATGCTTAGAAGCTAATAGAAGGCACCAGTGTGCTAGATGATTAATAGCTATTATTGTTATGCATATGCAAGTTGTATCATGTGTTCATAAAACTGTGGGATAATCTAAAAACACTATCTGATTCATTACAGAATTAATATCCCATCAAATCAAATTCCTATATGATACCATACCTCTACTCACATAATAGCTTTCCTCAATTTGTGGTGCCCTCTATATGCACAATTTTTGCTTGCCACTAGTTTGATGCTCCCACCAACCCTCATGTGATTACACATGGTATAGTTCTGCTGTATCATCCAAATGAACATGCAACAACCCTCCACCAATAGGAGTGCGACATACCCTCCTAGTGCAGATGACTCCCTCTATATTATATAGCACTCTCATCACTTCTTAATTTGGCATTCATGAGTACAGTTATGCTAACTTTTTGCTCAGTACTTCGTGCTTTTTGTGTTCACTTTAAATTTTTGCTACCTTTTGACAACTTTATGCTTGTTGTCATTTATATTTTTAATTTTCTTGTGGAAAGTTTTCTTTCCCACATGATGAACTCTCAATTTCATTTAACAACTATAGCTTCTGTTATGGATCCTGCCACAACTAATCCAGCCACACATACTACTACTGTAACTTTGGGCTCCACACTGTTGGCAGAGGAAGTCTTGGCCTTAGTGAGTTGTGAACTAGTGTCTTACATGCGGTATGCAATGTCTCCTGAGGTGCGATCGGATCTCCCTTTTCCTGAAGAATCTGTCCCTAAGGATGATGACTTGGACAGCCTTTTTCCACCTCCTGCTTTAGCAGTTCCTTCCTGGTCTGCCCCTTGGTTCTTCCTCGTCCTTTCTGGACATGATCTCTCAGGTTTGTTACTTTTTGTTTCTTCCTCCTGTTTTGTATGAATCCCCAATCTCCCTTCTTCATTCTGGCCTGATGTATCATTATTTGGTTATTTCCTTCTCACCATGTCTATCGCTGAACAATTCCCTACCCAGCTATATTCAGGTACCAGCATGCCTAGACCCCTACATTTGTCTGAATCGCATGCTTTGGCATACCATTGGTCAGAGTTCCTGTTTCTTGATTCTCAGACCTTGGAATCACTGATTCAGGCATGAGACTTTGATCCTGCTACTACCCTTTGTTTTTTCCTTACTCAGTTCTCTCGTCTTCTTTTACCCTCATGACTGTCTTTTCTTATCTGTCAACTTTTCATCTCCTTTCTGAAGCTATCCACTGTTCCCCAGGGGGTTTTTTGGTGAATATGTGTGCCCTTTTCTCTACATTGCTGCATTTATCTTTTTCTGCTATGTTCCTCTATATGTGGCTACTTTGTTGTTGGGATCTCCCTACTAGGGATATCCTTTTGTCACGTGCATCTACCTTCTTCTTATCTGTGCAGCCTTTACATGGCTTCTTTCTTGTGCTAGTTTATGTTTGGTGATGTTCCTGATACTTTAGAGCAGTGATTCCCAACCTGTGGTCCCCGGATTCCTTAGGGTCTGCGAAGATAATACCATCTCATCAAACAAGTAAGTTTTTTGATTCTGCTGTTCTTTTAATTGCACACTCAGTTATATATGTCTTTTATTTGATAGTGAAAAATGGAAAAACAAGTTAATTATTAGTAAGAAAAACAGTTTGTTGGGTAGTTGGAATCTTTCAAAAAACATGGGGTTCATGGGGAAAAAATAATAAAAAAGGGAGTCCTTGGTGGTAAAAAGGTTGGGATCCGCTGCTTTAGAGTCTAGAGTGGAGGCTGTGCACCAACATTTCTCTATTTCCTCCCTTGTTTCTCATCTTTCCCAATCTTCTCCTGTTTGTATTCCTTTGTCTCATCTTCCAGCATCCTGACCTCTACTGGTGTTTCCTGTGTCTCATCTTCCAGCATCCTGACCTCCACTGGTGTTGCCTGTGTTTCAGCTATGAGTTGTCAGATTGCCCATTGTTGCCTTTTCAGATGCCCTTATCATCTGTGACACAACCACTCCACTTGAGTTCCAGCACCATGGGGGCACAGTTGACCAGGTTTGCTCATCTATGGTGTCCTTTTGCTGTGGATTCTTGGGTTCTTCAGGTATTAGTAGAAGTGCTGTTTCTTCATTTTTCCACTCTTCCATTATCTCCAGTTCCCATTTCTTTCTCCCCTTCCTCAGGATCCACTTTCTTGCCAGTGTCTCTCTGTGGAGGTTTGATATTTCATAAGGATGGATGCTATAGAACAAGTGATCCACCCTTATGTCTCCAAGAAAGCAGGGGATTGGCATCCAGTTATCGATCTCTCAAACCTCAATCACTTCAGTGACCTCCCACATTTCACCACTAAGTCTTTTCTTAACCTTAGATTGTCATTCACTCCAGGTCGTTGGATAATCAAAGTCAATGTTTTGGATGCTTACCTTCATATCCCTATTTTTCCTGCATCCCATCATTACCTTTGGTTTCTTTGTTGGGGTCGGGTGTTTCAGTTCTGTACTCTCCCATTTGATCTGGCATTGGCTCCATACCTCTTCTGTCGTGTAGTCAGAGCCTTGGTCCATCATATACATATAACCTGAGCCTGAGATTTCACTGTTACATGGATGACTGGCTCCTTTTGGCTTCTTCCCAATAAGACTCTCACAACCATACCCATTTCCTCCTTCAAGAGATGGCTCGTTTGGGGTAGCTTATCAACCTGGAAAAGTCCCAACTTACCCTCATCCAATACCTTATTCATCTGGGGGTGTTTTTCGACACCTATCTCAGCAGGGTCCAGTCTTTTCCTCTACATTTGAGGGATGTGGAACATTTGATTTCCAAAGCCAAGACATTATGTGAGGCTCTCTCTCTTTTGGGGACCTGGGCTTCCATGGAATCACTCATCCCTTGGGGTCCTGCCTGCATGTGTTGCCTTCAATGGGTGTTGCATGATTGATAGAACCTTGTTCAGGATCCCTTGGACTCCTCCATTTTTTTTCCTTTCACCCTCTAAGTCAACTTTGCCTGGTGGCTCAACAGAGACTATACCTCAGCTGGCATTCCTCTTCCTTCTCCCTGTCCCAATCTTCATCTCTTTACAGATGTTTCTCTTATGGAATTAAGATGTATTTAGATTCTCATGAGATAGGCAGTCATTGGTCAGAGGCTGAACACATCAATCTGTTGGAGCTCCTGGCTGTTTGTTGGACTTTGGAACATTTCCTGTTTGTAGTACATGGGCACTTGGTCATGATTCATTCTGACAATTCTACAGTTGTCTCTTGCATCAATTGTCAAGGTGGCACCTGGTCTCGTTTGTTTTATGACACTGGATTTCCTTTTCTGGGCCCAATCTCGACAAGTTCATCTTCTTGCTTGTCACAACCCAAGTGCTCTGAATCTTGTGACAGATTGGCTCTCTTGTCCCAACAAGATTCTACCAATGGAGTGGTCTCTTGCTTCTCAAGTATTCTGATGGTTATGCTCCCAGTTAAGTACCCCCACTGACCTTCTCTGATTACTGGTTCCACATCCTTCAGCTGTAGCTGTGTATGTGTTTAGTCAGGATTGGTCCAATCTGTACCTGTATGCTTATCCTCCCAGCCATCTACTTCCCCACTTTCTCACTCTTATTCAAACCACTTCATGTTGAGTCTTTGTCATTGCTCCATTCAGGCCTGCACAACCGTGATTTCCTTCAGTCATCTCCTGTACCTCTTCTTCTTTCCCAATTCCTTCTCTGGCAACCTCATTCTTCAATCTTTCATCCCACCAGTAGCCACACTCCATCTTTATGCACAGGTTTTATCTTGTCCCTGGCAGTCTTTGTCAGTTGTCTTTGCTATTGATGTTTCCTGCATTCTTTATTATCATTCATATGTACTTCTTTATCCTGATTGTAGTTTTTCCCCAAAATGTCATCTATATTCCCATTCTGATTCATATTATTCTTTATTCGATGTGAGTTCTTCATTGTTATGTAGCCTATTCAGCATTGCTTCTTTTTGTGGCTCTCCTCTTCTACCTGGGTTCTCTCTCCTGAAACCTTTACCTGATAGCTTCATCAACTTATTCATCTGGCTTATGCATCATTATCCAATGATTCTTATCACATCTTCCAAGTTACTCTCACAAGATCTGTCATCTCATCTTTTCCCTGTCTGTTCACTTCCATCATCCTTGTGGTATCTTGCTTCATAAATAAAGCTAGCACCAGACCATACCAACTCGTGGACTATCATGGGTAAAGCAGTGTCAGGATCGCCACACATCCCTCCAATCCTATTTTAATAAACTGGTATTGACCTGCTTTTTGAAATAGGGTTTTCATGGGCACCCATTGCACTGGCTTATAGTGCTGTTTTTCTCTGGACTCTCCACCGTATTGTTACCCCCTTTCTAAGTGGAGTATGGGAGTCCTTGCAACTTACCAGTTCCTATCCACTGGGGTGGTGAACAATGGAGCTTTCTGTCCAATTTCACTTAGTCAAGAGTAGGGCAGTGATGTTCTGTTGGTGTACTCTCCTCCTGCTGCAGACTGCAAAACAAATACCCAATACTGCCTGGTTTTGGACTGGAGTTGATGCACTGAATACAATCTGATGTACCCTAACCACTCTACACCATCTGGTGCATCCAACAACAGACTGGATGTGCATCTTTTCTGCCTGATTTAGAGACACCTGTCTTGACAACAGGCAAAGAGTATACTTAGTACAGATGGGGTGTGGTCTCCCACGAGTGTGACCCTATACATTAGGGTGTCACATTCCATGGGTTCTTTTTGGAAGCCTTCCGAAGAGTGCTCATCTAGGTAAGTTTTGCACAGGTGCCTCCACCGTTTCAGTGTAAGATTCTACGTATTATGTGAGTAGAGGTAAGGAACTGTGTTGGAAGTTAACATTTTCTTACACTGAAAATGTATTTTTGATAGATACTTACCTCTTCTCACACTTCCCACCCATCTTACCTACTTCCGGTGTGTCTTTTTTTTTTTGCCAAATTTCGAAGTGATGAGAGTGCTCTACAATATATAGAGGGAATTAGTTGCACTAGGAGGGTGTGTCTCACTCCTGATGGTAGAAAGTTGTTGCATGTTCATTTGTATGCTACAGTGCAACTATACCATATGAGAGTATGTGGGAGCATTAAGGCTAGTGGCAAGCAAAAATTGAACTTACAGAGGGTAGCACAAATCGAGGAAAGCTATTATGTGAAAGGAGGTAAGTATCTATTGTAAATGCATTTTCAGTATAGGAAAATGTGAACTTTCATTGGATAGTGTGATATTCAATCAGATCAGATACTTGTCCAATCCCTACTAAAAATGTATGTCTTTATTGCTTACTTTTTTACCTGACTAAAGATATGAAGAAAGCAATAAGTTGGTAAAATAATCTGTATATTTTGAAAATCTTCAACTTCAGTTTTTAACATTGACTGAAGTAAACAAGTTTAGACCAGATTTACTTTTATTTTAGCTTTACAGAATCCTCCACTTAAAAAAGTAAGATATTGGTGTTTGTTTTAAGATCTGAAATGGAAATATTTTTAAATTTAGCTGAATTTTAGAAGGATGGCGAGTGTTTTTTTGTCTTACAGTGAAGTTCAGGACAGAGTGATGTTGACAGGTCGACACATGGTTCGTGACGTAGCCTGTAAAAACTGTGACACCAAGCTGGGATGGATCTATGAGTTTGCCACAGAAGAAAATCAGCGATATAAAGAAGGTAGGGTCATCTTGGAACGTGCTCTCGTAACAGAGACCAGTGGGATCGATGAGCATGCAGGCAATGCCTGATTACCTCAACAAGAATGTTGTTGAACTTTCTGGTCACATAAAATTTGGAACTTTCTTCATTTGTGACTCACATTCTATAAGAATAGTCCATCACTGTAAAGTCCATATTAAGGTGTAAAGGTTTCATACTGTGATGACGGCCCTCTGTGGGCACTCTTGCCATTCATCAGTGTTCAGATTTTTTGCTGTACGATATACATATTTATGGTGTTTCTGTAACTCCCAGAACTTTGTTTGAAGGTTTTAGAGAGGAGTGTTAGTAAGATGTGAATTATTGCATATACCCATCTATATATATTCTGGTAGATATGTTATTTTTCATGACCAGTTTGTGGTTTGTGTTAGTTACTACTTGATATTCAATAGTTGGTGAAGTATTAGCCGTTTCTTTGTGAAACGGAGAATCATGTTGAGTATTGACAATCCAACAAAACTGTTGATAAGAAGTTTGAAAGTCCATGCTTTCTTCAACTTGTACTAGTTTATCTTTCTTAGTTGTCTGTTTAAATATAGTATTTTTCTTTTTTAACATTTTTCACATGAAGCACTTCCCAGGATACTGAAATTTTGGACAGTAGGAAGAAATTCACCATATTGTAAATCATGTTGAAGAATAGCTGAATGATTATATGGATTATTTTGTGCATGCTTTTAAATCCTCGATTAAACAAACTGTGGAGCCCACATCGTCATGGTTACGCCTTGGACGTGTAAATTTATAGATGTCATAAGAGTAATGCATTTTAGGAACATTGTCTTTAAACTTAAAGTAATTACTGAAATGAAATATTGGCTTATAAACAATTCTAAGTTGAATTTGAAGATATATTTTACAATTCAAAACATTTTTAACTTTTTCTTTTATTCTAAAGCATGTTTCCCTGTATACTGCAAAACACAATAAGCTATGTGTATAGTTATAAAACATTTGTTGATTTTAGAGTTGTTCAAAACTTTAAATAAATTTGTTACTTGTATTATCAATCAAATAAAGAGGAATACTATTTCTTTTTAATAATTTATTTATATTTACAACCTTTTCATGAAACCCATAAAAAGAACTAACAATTATCTAAGCCTGAAGTATAAAATGTGAATTAAATCACTTTTAAACTCAGTAAATAACTATCAAAATAAAAGTATAAACCAGTAAATGTTGATTTATGGTAACACTTACTTTCAAACAGTATCCCTAAATTATTTTGGTTCCCAAAAATGGTAAGAAGGATGCAATTTGTTCTTCAACAATATATTTAATATTAACATGTTGACCAACTCTAAAATCAACAAATGTTCTGCAACTAAACAGACAATTTATTGTATTTTGCAGCATACAGAAAAACATGCTTTAGAATTAAAGGAAAATATTAAATATGTTCTGAACTGTAAGATTTATCCTCAAATTCAACTTAGAATTGTTTATAAGCCAATATTTCATTTAAGTAATTACTTTAAATTTAAAGACAACATTCTTATGTCATCTATAAATTTACACGTCTAAGGTGTAACCATGGCTATTTTGACTCTACAATTCACTGTTTAAGTTCAAGGTTTAAAAAACATGCTCAAAATAATCCACATAATCAGTCAAATATTTTTCAACATGGTTTACAAGACTGTCACTTTCTTCCTACTATCCAAGATATCAGTATGCTGGGAAATACTCCAAATTAAAAAACTAACGAAACTATGTGGATATACAAGTGACATCCTGAATAAAATGGTGTACTATGAAGGTTAACCACACAAATAATGTCGTTATAAAGTGCTTTAAATTAAAATATAATTAAAAACTAAAGAAACATTGTGGATATACAGGTAACATCCAGAATTAAGTGAAGTACTGTAAATGTTAACAGTACATATAATGTGGTTATTTACACTGTGCAAAATATTTGTGTTATCATCTGTCACTTCAGAATTTCTTCCCAACTCAAATAAGACATAGGAATAAAATCCTTGTAGCTAGTTGAATGTTTACAAAATAATAGCTTTGAGTCCAAGAGAAATATTTATTAATGACAGCTGTTTGGTATTTGTTTTGTTGAAACCTGATTATGCAATGAAAATCTAAATAAGTAGGTTTAGCTAGAGTATGTTTTAAGTTACATATGTGTGCAATGGTTAACACGTCATCAGACAAAAAGTAAAATAAAATTCACAAAGTATTACATTAACTCAGTTAATGGTTCTGCCAATACAGGAGACCTTACAGTCTCCACATGTGTAAAGATATACAAGCAACCAACAAAGAGAAATTGGGAGAAGATCTTTAGCTCGGAAAAAATCCTGTACGTGCAATGTGGGTTTAAAAACCAATCTGAAATCAACTTGGGGTAGTAATGATGAATTATGCATTTAATTTGACTTCTAAAAGTTAAGCCTTGTTTACCAATGTATGGAATACAAGAGTATATAGTAAGTTAGGGTATGGTTGGTAGTTTAGGTGGATTTATGAGTTTCTTAATTAGAAAGGTATTAGTAATTTTTTTAGTAAATGTTATGGGTAGCCATTACATTTTTTAGTATCCTGTATGAGAGAAATTTCCGAGTATAAATTAAGGTACGTGGAACATAGGTTATAAGCTCTGTTTAATAAGCATGTTACCAGATTTCTTTTGTATGTGAGTGTGATAAAATTGTCAAATTGTGTAAGGAATCCAGTAAACATCTTTTTTTTTCTGTATATTTTATTATGGTTAAAAAAAGGTAAATTATTATTATTTTCAGCCTTTCAAGTGAATTTAATGGCAGGATATTGAGTTTAGGTCTTATTGATCCTTATTGTGAAAAAAGAATAAAAGTGTTGTTTACAAACCTTCTGTAAAGGACAGGTACGAGGTCAACAAGGCAGGTGTCGAACCATACATGTTTATGATACGAGAGAAATAGATTAGCTAACCTTGGATCCAGTGGGAAGCCCTTGCTACACCAACTATTTGTTCAAAGAGGGTGTTGTTGAAAAGGAAACATGAATTCTTGGTTGTAAGATCCAAAATGGTCTTAATTTGAGGTTCAGCAAAATAATATTCTGTGAAAGTTCAGGTATGCATATATCAATGGTTTCATTTAGAGGTATATTTGTAAAGAGGGGGGGGAGGTAATATTAAAGATGGACATAAAATGGTTTTTGGATAGGGGTAATTGTCATAATTCAAGTACAAACTGTTTATGTTGTTTATTTTATGCACTGTTATCCTTTTTATTATGTAGCTCTCATTAAGGAGTGGAATTGCCAATTATGACTGACCAGTAAGTTACTCACACCCAGTGTTATACATCTGTATTGTATGACAGATTCAGAAAAAAAGATTGGTTATTTTAGCTTAACTGGTAAAAAACTAACATTCTTTAGTTTTCATTGACATTCTTAGAAGCTCAGTAAAATTAAAAGATAAATGAAACAAATTAAAAGATAAATGAAGCAAATAAAAAACAATTAGGAATTAAGCCCAAGAAGAATTAGGTGTATTGTTTGCTACTCGGAATTCTGCACGTACACTCAAAAGGAAGTTTAAAAACAAAATAAATGTAAAAGTTGTTTAGTGGACATTTCATATTTTCAAAATTGCTATGGAACTTGCAAAAGCCAGCCAGGTGTATTCCCTTCTTTTTTGTTTTTGCTTAACAAACCAATTTCAATTTTGAAGGTAGAAAGTTAAAAAAACAACTAAAAACAAAGTTATGGTACTTTGAGGATTTTCTATAAAAATTTTATATAAGTATTTGTTAAGCTGTAGGCTTAGTTTTTCACTTAGTTGATTGAAAGTTGCAGTGACATAAATAATATTCTCTCAGCTGTTGATTATATTTGTTAATGAGAACAAGAAAATCATTGTTTATTAGGTGTATCAGGGTTCAATAAAAGCTTACTTCTCAGCTGCTTACTAAAAACCTAAATCTAAGAAAAAATCTAGAAACCTAAATCTAAGTAGTGAAATAAAGCATTTTCTCCAACCATTTCTATCATATTTTGATGTATATATATATATATATATATATGTTGATATTCAATCATAGTAATCAGTTATGTTATGGACTTTATTCAGAAGAGTCTTCATTAATTGTTGGATATTTTGCACCCAACTGACAAGAATCTGGTTGTCTGTTGGTAACCCAACAGTGTGCACTTTATTTGAACATCTTGTTCGATACATTTCTGAACTGCTATGAATGCAAACTTCAGCATACTTAGATTTAAAGTTATTATTCTCTGAATTGTCCACTTTATTAAGCTGAATTTGACTCTTTTTGTAGTTATATTGTTAAATAGTTTTCAGAAGTGGAGAATATCATACAATATTCTAATAGTGGAAAAAACACAGTTAAGTGGAGAGTGAGATCTGGAAAAATATAGATTAAGTCCAAACTATCATCAGACGTTCACTTTACTCATAACATCTTATATTTGTAGCTGTAACACATGTTCATGTACTAGTTAGTTTTAGCCTTAATGTAGTTTTCATTATTTTATGTTTACCTTTTAACCCTCCGATACCCAGATATATCGAATATAGTATATAGTGGTAATAAACGAGAACAACTTCAAAGTGTTTGGATACCATTTTGGATCATTGTAGTGTTAATTTACAGTGCTCTTAGTTATGTATCAATATTTTGTACCTTGGATACATTTTTTTTTTTAATATTTGTACACACAAAGGCATTGTATCTCTGTATAATTGTATGGGAATTTGACGTGTTTAATTCTGTACCTTCTCATGTTATCCAGATAGGTGTATAATAAATGTAATTAGCCAGTAAAAAAAGTTGTATGATTAATAAGTAATCTGTGTTTGTGTTTCTTATTGTAACCATTTGTACTCACAATTTCTATAAATGTTCTTTGATTTAGACTGGGTAGTAAAAATTGCTTTTTTTGTAAACAAGTACTGTTCTACACCATCATCATAACTATTAAAACTCTTTTTTTTTCTATAATGGTCAAAGTCTAGAAGTGTTGTACATGTTACAGCACAGTAAAAAAATTACCTGTTAGCATTATTTTTAATAGGAACTATTATTTTTTATCTCAGTTTAGTCCAATGATGTGTGGGTCATTTATGATTACTGATGACTTTAATATATTTATTGTTGCCCTCTTTCCAAATATATTTAGCTAATTACCACTATTTAAATAATTCAGTAATTTGATAGCCAAATGGGTATAGCTGCATGAATCCTTTATCTGAAAATGTTGTATGGAACAGGTAAAAAATTGAAGAGGTTATTTATAATTGTGATGACCATTAACTTTAATAATAGTTTTATTGAAATTAAATAAATCTGTCTTGAGTGACTTTCCTTCCAAGGTCAAATGGATTAATACAAATGAATGCATCATCTTGGATAGGTAGTTTGTATTAACAACAGATGACACTAGAATCAAGGTTGTAAAAGTAGTTTCCACGTTTCTTATGGAATTTTTATATCTTCATGCAGCAGTTTGCATATTGCTAAAATCATTAAGTAATACATAATACTTTTTTGTTCTGCATGCCCAGAGACTTAGTTATGCAAGGGGAAAATTTAGGCTGATCACAATTAACTATTTGTAAAGAAAAACAACAAAAACTCTAGGTTGATTTAATAGAGAATAGGAAGGCTTTTGAACTAGCACATGCTACAGTCTCTAATATGAAAAGTTCAGTTAATTATTAACCCTATTAACTTAGTAAATTGATATTACTGAAAACTAGTAAACAAAGTTCTGTGCTGCACTAGAAATTAAATAAACAAAACATTTTTACTAACACTTTAACCAAAGACCCTGCAGTAAATTGTATGTGATCAGCATAACAACATTTGTATAGTTACATTGATCACGTACCTGAAGAAGGGTGTTTCACAAGAATGTTGGGTATCAAAGTTTTTCATTGGTGATGTTAATTTTTAAACATTTAATTTTAGCTTCACTCTTTGATTAAGTTTTGTGTAAACAGATTTTCAGTGAGAGTGAGAAAAGTACTCATTTACTAGTTTTTTTACATATAATAGACTGGTGTACTTGTTGCTCTACATTTTTTTATATATAAAATCGATTTGGACACAAGCTTTCTCCTGTTGTTACTCATGATTGCATTTTGTGAATTGTTTTAAAATTACGCTACTATACATTGGTTGGTAAATATTTAAAATGTGTCTTTAGTGTATGTTTGTGGAAATTACCAACACTGACAGGGAGTATAACAGTAACATAGCACAATGGTTTTATTAAAGAATAAACTTAAATGCAGATTATGTTATTGCTAACTTTTCCAATCTGAAAGATTAATTTTAAGCTACAGGCAAAAACTTACTGATATATAAAGGGTAAAACACTTCAGTAAATTTTAAGATAGGTAGATAGCAATTAATCATATAGGAACAGAATTATTTCAATGTATTTTATGTATATGTTAAAGATTTATTTATTTATTTATTTTTCACCAGAGGTGAAATTGAAAGATAATTTGTGATGTAGAGGCCTAATGCATTCTTTGATTGGCTGTACCCTTTGCTGTGGACTGCAGTTTCACCTATTCAAGGCTCATCAGCAAACCAAAGAAATAACATTAGGCCTCTTATAATAGATATTTCAATGTATATGTTGTTCCCTTTACCAAGGCTTTCAACTTTGCAAAAAATTGAACATTATTTCTACTAGCTACAGTGAATTTCTTGTTCAAACTGCATTGTTTATTTAAGTCTTACATATAAAACCATGACAGAGAAAGTCTGATTTCTTTGTTACAAAACATAACTGGTTCAGACATGTAATACAAGCTAGATACAAAGCTACACTGACTATGTCACACAAAGGTTATATACAATATATATATATATATGCCCCATTCTAAAGCCTTTTAGTCTGCATATATTCAGTTATACAGAAAGACATGCTTACTGATCATAGAAAATTTGCCAAACAGCTAGCTCTAGGTTCACACACAATGAGTATCGTCAGTAACCCAGTTAATTTGCTGGTTTGAACAAAATGCATATAGCACATGCTCTAAATGTCACATACACTGGTTAGGTAACTTTCAAGGAAGTGTAATACTGACAATACATATACTGGTACACTGATTAAGATTTATTTCACATATTTTGTCCCCATTCATTTATTTGTATGAAATCATTAACTAAAAGTAATAATCTCAATCTTAAAGATGTTATTGTATTTCTTTATACATTGCTTGTAGATATCGACAACATCACTACATGTTGAATATGGGAACTTTTAAGTGTTTTAATCCTTAGTGAATAACTCGTATTAAAGGAACCCAGCTGTAACCTATAATAATCAAGTTAATAATTACTTACAGTTTCAGTTTTAAGACACTATAATTAATGTTGATAAAGCTGCATTTATGTACCGTAGTGCCATCATAAGTGATAAGCTATAGAGTTAATATTTATCTTGAAGTTTCCTGGTGAAAAACCATCACTAAACACAATAAAAAAAATCTATATTTTTAGTAATTTCAAGTATATCACATAGAAAGAATTAAGGTCACTTCCTGCAATTAGGAACATTCACTTTCCAACAGTGGACTAAGGTCCACTGAATGGGCGGAAACATCAAGAACTTTTTATAAAAATTGGTCACTGACAACCTTGTATATTAAAACTGGGATAAATGTCATTGGTAAACACCTTTCAACAAACAGTTATGTATGAAATCTTAGCTATCAACTGTTTAACAAGGGTTCTTGTTGCAAAAACACAAATTCTTATTCTGTATTAGTCAACCAAGTCTTAGTAGTAACTCGACAAAAATTAATGACCCACGTTTTAGTAGATATACATATATAAAATGAGTTTTTCTCAGAATGATGTTAAATAAATATCCTGTATTTCTGTGTTCTACCATCTTAATACCATATATGTTTGTACATAGTTTCCACAGCTCTTTTCCTGCTATTATATTTTGTTACAACCTAATAATAATACGACAGATAAAATACTTTTAAGAACTCAGTCACCCCCCCCCCCTTAAGAACTTATTAGTTTTTGTAATCATATACTTTGCTGAATTGCCATAAACAAATTAGCAAGCATCAAAATAGCAAGGTTAACAAAAAATAACTATTTCTTGGAGATAATGAAAACTGAGAATAAATTTAAACATACTTTAACCAAACTAGTTAGTTTTTGGTCCTTTTTACACCTTGACTTAAAACATGAAAAAAAAAAGAGGTTCTGGTTCTTTTACTAAAGTCATGCAAACCTTTTTAGTTATTCCAAAAAGCAAAAGTATTCATGTTATAAAGTTCTTATCCAACAGTGTCAAATGCTTTAATGTTATACGTTTTGTATGAAAACAGATAAACATTAACTTGAAAGCAACACTTTTAACTCTTTATAAGAAAAAAGAAAAGAAAAGGGTAATTATGTAAACAGATTAAAACTTAAAGCAATGTTAGAATTAGATAGGAAATATCTATGCATAATTTATATGTTAAAAACTTAATGACACAGTTCAAAGTACAAGTAATATTACTAAAGAAAGTAATATGTAACTGTCGGTCGATATTTTAATAGAACAGAAGTAAAACTAAAAAAGAAAGAGCCATCTTTAGGTACAGGACAAATTTAAGAAGGATACAAGTGTTTTTCGTTTTATCTGTTACAAAAGTATCTTGCACCAAAAGCTACTTTTCGATTTCTTAATTTTGATGTCTATTTCTTTTTCTAGCAATTACTTTATTAGTACTACCTTATTTTAACCAATTACCTTTTGCCTTTAATTATTAAGATTTGTCTGGGATGTTATACTTTGGGTGATATTAATACCATGTTATTGTATGCAAGTTTTATTTGAAAAAAAAAGCACAATTCAACTTAGATCTTGACTTTTTTTCTCCTCTTTGGTCTTTGAATCATATCTATATCAAAATATATGCGATAAAACACTAAAAAAAAAAGAGGTTGACCTCTGTTTAGTTACCATGACCTTTATATTAAACATCAAGGTCAAGTACAATATCAAATGTTAGCTGCTATGTATTAACCTTATCCCACATCAGAGAATTCATAATTGGCATCTCACAGCTAGCAGGTGGAGCCTACTAAAGTTTCTAAAGAGTACAGCTAATTCTACTTGCCAATAATAACTATATTCAAACTTGCTGATTTTAGGAACTTTGAGAGTGAAGGCTTTTCAATAACATTTCTAAACCTTGGAATACCAGGTGAGCTAATGATGTCAATAATACTAAAATCCAGTAACATTTCTCGCAGTTTGTTTACTCAGTGCATGCTCAGACTAAGATTTGAAATCTTACAGGTGTTACTGATGAAATAAAATATTAGGCTTATATTTATAAACAAAGGAATGACACATCTTCAAGTTTACTCCTTTTTAACATAAAACTGAATGTCATAAAAGTTTAGGTAATCCAATAAGATTTTCTGTTCACCAAACCAATGAGCTGATGAACATCTGAGAAAAATGAAAATAAAACAGTCTAAAATAAATATATCTGTGGTCCTTGTTGTCTTTCAATAATTAATTTAACAAGTAGCTTAATTGTATGGTTTATTGGAAAACAACAACAGACATATCTGTATTCTTTCATTTATCAAGTAAGATTTGAAATTACGTTAGTCACTTAAAATAAAAAACTAGTATATTTGTATTGAATAAAGTTCAGATCACATTGACCAATAAACTGGGTATTTGAATATGTAAGCAATAACAATGTAGAAATAATATTGGAGAAATGATTAATAGAAAGTAAGTAATATTTTATTATAATATTAAAACAGGACTGCATAAAATGAAAATATTAACTATGCAAAAAAGCAAATTTCTAATATTGTCACATTTTATGATCAGATAAATATTTTTAAACATTCATTTAAATGGTTCTAAATAAAAGACTCAAAGCCATGGGAACAAGTCTATTGAACTGACTGGACAGTTATAAACTTTTCAATGTTACCCATCCTCCAGCATCTGACACTTAACTATGTAACAGTCAGTTACTCTAAAAAGATTGCATGAAACTGTAAGAGAGCAACTCCAAATATTTCCCATGATTCCTCAAATGAACAATACCTTTGTCAGCCTTGTACCTATCACTTTAACTATGGTGGGGGTATTAAGAAACTACTAACCCTGTGCATTAATTAATCAAAATAAATATGTTTAATCTTAAGATATCAAACAACTTAGAAATTAATAAAGCTACAACAAAGATTTTCTATACAACAGTTGAACCGAGGCTTAAATAGTAGCATAACAGATATAACTAAAAATACATTACACTATGTCATACACTATCTCCCTCTGGTAATATGTCTGGTAACTACATCTGCCATTAACTAAGTACACAAACTACTAGAGAACATTTTGAAGAAGTTTTGTTGTTCTCTACTAATACTACACATTCCTTTCAAGGACTAATGTACAATTTGTTTTCATTTCAAGATGATACTGCTTTAATTGAATATTGGGCATTTTTACCAATATAGCACAAATAATTAATACAAAAACGTTATATAAGAGCTACACAAAATGTTTTCAATAAAATTGGTATAAAGGTTGGTCCTTTAACATTACTTTCTTTTTAAGAAATATAGATATAAATGCACATTTGTGATTTAAGTTACTTTACTATTACCAGTAAAAAAGAACTGTGACCTTATTCAATCTTCTGTTCTGACATCAATTGAAAAACTGTCTAAAAAATCTTTACGGTCTTAGGATATTTGTTTGATACTGTTATTGATCAGTCACAAACTTTGTTGGAGACACCATTTATAAAAAACTTATTATTCAGATGACCACTGATTTGTTGTACTAGAATGTAGTCTTGGTGAACCAAGTTTAACTTCATACCCAAAACTAACAGAAACTATCTTTGGAAAGCAAAAGGATAACTGCTACTCTAAACAAAAAAGAAGAAAATATACATTCTAAGCTTGATATTTCAAAGCCTAACTTGACTAGAAACAAGGTCTGTTCCCACATAGCAGCAGCACTATGCTAGGCTGAAACCACAGCAAGTTGGGTAAATCAAAATCAGTCCTAGGTTTTAAGCTGTTTGTGGTCATGGTCATGTAAGCTTTAAAGACTTTGGCTTAGATAGAAGATTTGAAGAGGTTTTTTTTTTATTGCTTACCTAAACTGGTATACAGAACAGTTGTCACAAACTTTGTTGCAGTTAAATGAAACTAGTATTTACTTTGGACAAAACTAGTCCTCTCACTAAGAAGTTTATATAAAAATAATTACCAGGCACCTCTCTTCTGATTTGGCACTTCATTAAATAGAAGGCATACCACAAAGGTAGTTTTGATAAATGTAAAAAAATGATGTTTCCTTTACTGTTATATATATATCTCTGAAAGTAGAGTTCATATTAAACATTGCTCTCAGCTTGCAGTTTGTCAACAATGTGTTTCACCCATCCCTTGACTTGTCTTGGCTGTGGAAAGTCTTCAACAGATGACGTGTGGCATGTTTCCATTACAGTATTTACAGTCGAGGTTGAGTGTTCTGAACTTGTTTCGCTTTCTTCGTGCACGTCTCTATGGTTACAGTTCAGTGATGGCTCTCTGTGATTGCTCATGCTGTCAGCTGAATGTCCAGTATAACCCTCTGTTCGAAATTTCAAGTTCTCCTCCAAAATTTTTAACCTCTGTACAATAGCACCTTTGACAGGACGTGAAATATGAAAGTCCAAATTTTGTGTTGACAGGTTCAAATCACTGTTAAAATATGCCACCTTACAATTCAAAGGTTTTCTTTTATCTAAGGTAGTTTGCTTAGTTTCATTCTTGATTGGTGAGCAAGACTCTAAAGCGCCGAGGTCAGCTTCTTCAGGGTCACTATAAATAGCTGAATCTCGAAACATTTCATCTGCTAATGAATTTTCTATAGCTTCAAAAGTTCTCTCATAAAAACTGTCAACAGAATCATCACTAGAATCAGAAGGAGAATCATCGTCATCATTCTCCATGTCCCTTGTAATAGGTTGTGAATTTTCACTACAACTAACACCTGTGACAACACTACCCCCCACACCTCCATCACTGGATGAAGTTGTGTTTGACGAATCAGAAAACAAACTATCTGGTCTCAGTTCTGCTTCTTTTGCTGCTCGTAGCTGGCGACAAATCATAAGAGTATTTGGAACAGAATACTCTGATTCATGAAGTCTTGCAATACGAGCCCCAACAGCAGAACTTCCAACTGCTATTGGTGTTGGCATTTTCTTTTCTGCAGGCCACTTAATATCCTCAAAACTCTTAGGCACTAGCTCTCTTTTTAATCTATGTTTTTTTAATGCTGAGTAAGCTTTGGCAAGAGAATGAAGAAAATTGGCTGAAATGGCTCGAGAACTTATATCCTTGTCACTTTTTACACTACTCCGACTTGCAGACCGTCTGTGTAAAAACCCACGTTTGAAGCGGTGTTGGGGATCACTGCCCTCTGAGACTATAGAACTTGTATCCGATTGCTCATGAGAAGGAGATCCTAAGGCTAATTTGAGTGCTGCTATCTTTGAACTTACATTTGTGAGCACATTTCGAAGAATAGCATATCTTGTTCCTGGTTGTCCATATAATTTATGTGTAGGATGAATAGAAACATTTTCAATGCTGACAGCTGGTGTAGTAGCACTGGTTACTGTTGTATCTTTTACGGTCAATTCATCACCTGAAGTAAGGTTTGAGAAGTTTTCAATGTGAGAGGAATCTTCCATGTATCCATCTAGGTCCTCCCTTAAGTCTACTTGACAAGGTTTGTCAGAAGCTATTGTAAATGGGCGATGGTCTGCATACTGAGTTCTGTTACCTTCTGTAACCCTTCTGCGAGCTCTCTGTCCTTCAGCAGGTTCAGTTTCTTTGGATGTAGGGGAAACAGAATTGTACTCTTGGGCCAGCTGAAAACTACGGGGAAGAGATCCAAACTTACTATAAACATCAGCCAAGTGCTTCCGTTGTTGTGTAAGCCAGACAGCTGGTGCTGTGGGACTTAAGTCATCTCTGGAAGATGCTGGAGGAATGGTGGACAATTCAAGCTGCTCATCAAGCTTGCAATGTTCTGCACTATGGGAAAAACCATTGTGAACTGTCTTAGATGGCTGCCGGAATGAGAAAGAGTGCTGTAATGACACAACTTTGGCCTTTGCTATTCCTGTGAATGACTGTACTCTTCGAATTGCAGTGTTGTTTTTCCAAGAAGACTCACTTGAAGTACTGCTTGTGTCTATATTACAGCTGGGATTTTTACCTTGTACTCTGCTTAACTTATCCCAAAAAGTTAGGAGACTGTCACAGTTGGCTGATTTTCTGTTCTGTAAAACACTGTTAATCTGACATTGAGGATTGTTGTTTAGATTTTCAGATTCAGAGAGATTGTCTTTCTGATACTTAACATCTACTGTTGTTAATGTTTCTCTAACTTCATCTGGTGCATTGACTGGAGACTGAATGGAAGAAACCAAATTGCTGTCGCTCTTTATTGGTGGGACTGTGATAGTGGCTCTAGGTTCTTCGGGTACAGTTAGTGAACCCAAGTCTCTGCAAGCATATGCATGGGCAAATACAAAAGTAACATATTCTCCTGCCAAGTCTTCTAGCATCTCTTCCTGTGTTCTAGCAGTACGAGGCGGTGGTCTCACTTGCAGAAGTCGGCTAAAGTCTAGTGTCTCATAATTGTCTTCCACCTCAGTGTCAGTGGTCTCTTCAGGCAAGCTATTCCAAGTTCTCCATGGAGGCCTAGCTCGTTGTGTACTTCCTCTTGCAGAAACTTGAGACAGTGACTCCTTGCTAGATGCCGGACGTGTAGACTCTTCAACTCTAGGGCTTTTGGCATTCTGCTGAAACAAATCATATATGTAATAGTAAAATCAACTTTATGTAACAACTTTGAATGATAAATCTGCAAGTTCTTCACACATACATATCTATGTTAATTGGGTAGCAAATCTGTTTAGTCAATTTTTCACTGAATTATCTGAAACAATTAAAAACTGGTAGTAAATTCACTACATTTAAATACTTTTTACTAAATTAACAGATGTACGCTTATTAACAAAGAGTCTTAATCTGTTACATTTATGTTGTTTTAATAGATATAATTTTAGTTATCAATGGGTAGAACACCTGTTACTTCTAAATATATTGTTTTACTAAATTGAAAGATGTAGATGTTGTTAATTATGGGTAGAACATCTATTACTTTTAAATATATAGTTTTACTAAATTAAAAGATGTACGTGCAGTAACAATGGGTAGTAGATCTGTTACATTTAATCATATTGTTCTGATAAATTAACAGGTGTTGTCGTTATTTAATGATTTTCTCGCAAAGCTACTCAAGGGCTATCTGCACTATCTGTTGTGAGAACACCACAGAAAATGGGAATGTAGATATAGCAACAATGGGTAATAAATCAGTTACATTTAAATACTTTTTTCTTCATTAAAGTAAAATGTACTTACTTGTATAGATAATGACTAGCATATTATACACATAAAAAAAAAGAATGGAAACATACAACCATATTCCAAAATACATATTTTTTCTAATAAAATATACAATTTCACAACCATGCTTATTGGCTTCCAATTCAGTTGCTTCAATCCTCTTTTTCCATACTTAGAGATATTGTCAAACGTTCTGATGTATACGTGAGAATTGGTATAACATAGTCATCCAAAAATCTTAACTTCATCCCCATAGGAATTTTACTATTTGTTAGTATTTTTTTTTGGTTTATAGAGAAGCATTTTTGTGCCATCACTAAATATACTAATAGGCAAGAAATTTTATCTAATTTTTATATGTTTGTGACAAATTTCTTTTAAGTATGATAAAAGACATACTACCAATTAATTGAGCATACATAACAATATCTGAACACTTTTATAATACTTTATGGTAGAAACACCAGATAACATTTTCTACAGTAGTTACATCTCCTCTCTCAAGATTTCAACTGTTTAACTTAAAAGGTTAATAAAGTTCAACTGTGCTTGCAAGTAAATATTCCAATTTTGGATTCATGCCAATTCCTTATTAACCTAGTGTAAAATGGGGCTCATTCTAATCACTAGCTTAAAGCAAAAATAGCTTTAGCTTTAACATTATATTCATGTAGTGTAGGCATAAAAAAAAAAAAAGTGACAAAATGCATGTTAAATATGATGTAAGCTGTACAACAGAGGTTTTATTTATTTTTCTAGCCATTCAATTGTGACATGCAAATTCACAAGCAAGTAATTTTTCTTGCATAATTTTCAAGTACCTTAAACATTTCATGGAACATTTTGTATTCAAAAACTCAGTAAACAAAAATGATGAACCAATCACTTCTGATATGTTTGACTTACTGTTAAGTGTTTCTCTGGTGAACTTATGCATAAATAACAAATGTGATAAAGTTAGTTTCTTATAAGTTTTTTAATTTCTGCATCCCTTTTAGGAAAGGCATTCTAAGCATTTTTAAAGCATGAAATGTTCATAAATTAAATAACCTTTTTTATGTTTTCAGTACCTATACACACCTCAAATATGTTTTCTTCTTTATTCAAGAGTTTAAGTGCCAATTATTTTTGTTTTCTCTACATAATCAGTTATCTACTTACAAAGTGGTGTTTAATGCCACCCTTTTCTTTTCTGCCACTTGAAGTTGTTGGAGAATCTAGATTGCTTTGATTACTGTCGTAACAATTTTTAATATCTTTACTCTTGTAGAAAGAAGCTATATCTTGGCTAGCACTTCGTAACCTTCTTCCTCTCCGGGTTTCTGGTGTTGACTAAAAGAGTTAAAGTGAAGTTTTTAACAAGTTCATCTTGAACTAAATAATTATTATAAACTACCTAACAATAACTCATTTATATAATCATTATGATAATATTTTTCTATGACTAATATTAAAAAATGTTAAGTATTTTTACACACTTGAAAGCTAGGCATTTTGTCTTCATATTGCTTTCTGTTAATACTTCATGGCTAAGTTCAAAAGAGTTAATTAAAAGACTAACTTGATTTTTGTTTTTAATTTATGGGATACTCTTCTAAATTGAATTGAAAGTTTATTAAAGTGACTTTTGTCCAAAGAAGATTTTCTTAAGAATAACTTGAATACTCTTAAAACATCTGGTTACTGTAATTTAGCAGAACAAAACAGATTTGAAATGTTTCCAGAATAGATTAAGTATTTTAGGAAGATAAAAATTTAAGGGCTTGCAAAAAAAATATATATAAAACTCACATTTTTGGAGCCAGTAATGGTATCATTCTGAAAGGAAAAAAAAACCATAATAATAAACTTTTTATACGTCTTAATATTTTCAGAATATTTATGTATAAAATCTGAATATCTTATTCTAATTATTCCTATCTTGTAAGGAATTAATATTCTAAGCTTTAGTTATTTTTTGAAGGCTAAGGGAGCAATAATATAATATCTGTTGTATTACAGCACAAAAAATTGGATGACACTCCAAACTTCTCTTACTTAATTATACGAAACAAAACAAATTTTTCTAATTAATATCGAAACTCTTTGGATTTTTCTGCAACTATGTCAAAATGTTTTTAATGGACTTTTCTCACCATTTCTCTCTCTTAATTTTTCTCTTTCATGACTGAACATTGTATGATAACCAACAGCAAAGGAAGGATAAATGGATAAAAACTTAAATCATTTAACTTTATTAGGTAAAAACTGAAGTTAATTAGCCTTACATATCACATAATACAAGAGAGGTAATGACATGATAATTCCTGATGACATAGGGAAATCCACAAAATAAAATATATAAACCATTAGATAAACTTCTGAAAATATATAAATCTGCACTTACCTTCTTGATACCTAAAAGGAGAAAGAAAGAAGAACAATTTTAGCTATTTTATCAATAAATTCATACATTAAGCTATTCTGACTGCAATAAGAATTATATAATTTGCATAATTTTTGCTCTGCCTATAAAAACATTCAAAACTAATTAGTCCAGAACAATGCTGATGCTATATCATTTTTTCTCACAGCTAGAAATAATCATACAATGCCAGTTTCAACAGACAGTTTATTTTGAATAATCAGTTATTATAACATTCAAGATTGAGTGGGTCTTTAATTGCTAATAACCGGAGAGTGTTATTAGACACAGAGAAAACCTCCAAAGATAAAGTAACCACACTAAATCCAAACCAAATTTTTTTTCCTGCCAGGTGATCCACATAAATTTTTTACTTATGATTAAATAGGTATTTTAATCAATCACCTAAAACCACTTGTCATAAAATAGAAAAGTGACTGACAAGATAAGAATTTTGGTAGTGAACAAACACTAAGAATTTTCATTAAAAGATCTTTCCCACTTGACTGAACATACATAGCCAAACCAAAAATCACTAATTAGATGCAAACGACAATTAAAGGCAGTTAATAAGAAGTACTAGGAACCACAATTTCACCTTCACGTTTTGTTTTAGCTCTGACTTTCAGTAATCAATCAGTATGTTTGAGAAAGATAGTTTGGAAAAATATTATTTTCATTTCAATATTACTATAAATCTACACAACATTCAAGTAGTCACTGTAAATCTCACAATTTTGAACTCATACAAATCTCAAGTATATTTTATAAACAATTACAAAAATGAAATTCAGCAAGTCTATAAAACAACTAACTTTTATTTTTGAAAAGAATGTTGAGTATACATTTTCCAAAAGACTATTCTATTTCAACTTCTATAGTTTAAAAAATTATTTTAAATGGTCTATAGATTTAGGTTTAATTAATTAATTGTTCTAGATCGTTTTTCCTAACTACCTCTATGTCCTATTGAAAGTGACATTTCAAGATCATTTTTCTAAATTTTTGTTCAAATTAAAAAAAGTTCAATTAAATGTTATCTCTTATGATTTCTTTCTGTAAGTTTGTAATTTGATAAATTAGTGTTCACCTTTCTTAAGTTTGAAAGCTCGATTCAAATTTATTTCTGACTTTCTCCTTTCCTGCTTTCTTTTTTCAAGGTACTCAGGGGCAGAGAGCTGTTTCTTGGTACTGCTTTTATCCATAGGTACGGGGCCTAAATCAGTATAGTAATGAAAACTCAATCTTATCTTAATATTACACACACACATACATAAAAAGAGAATTTTTGATATGAAACAAGTACTAAACCAAGAGATTTAAAACTCATGTTCATATTTCATCTTAAAATACTGTGGCCAACTGTACTTTTTAAAGTCAAGATGGTAACATCATAAACTTAATCAATAATGACCAGGGTTTGAATCTTAATTGGGATGGTTTTATTTTTCTAATCTATATACAAACCTGAAATTAATATTCAATATCAATACAGTATCCAAGTTTTTATTTATTTATTATTCAAAGTTGCTTGTTTAGTTTGCTAAATTTAACATGCTTTTTCTCTGTGTACAACACAACTGTGAAAAGGTGGACTTCAATCTTAAAAGATTTCAACTTACTTTCCTGTTTGTTCTGACCCAGTTCCATGACTAGTTGCCGAGCATGGGAGGGGATTACGGCATTGTAGTTTTCTAATATAACTCTTTTCAATTCCAGACACCATTCCCTTTTCTGTTCCAGGTTTCTAGCCTATGTTATACATTTAACAGTTCAGAACACTTTAACTTATATTTGTGTACACTTAACTATCTATGAGGGAAAAAAACTTTAATGTTATGTTTACCACCTTAAGTTGAACTCTAGCAATTATTACAAGATATAAAATTCAAAACAGAATGTAATGTAAAATACTTTAGCATTAACTATCATAAATGTATTTCCTCACTAGATGTTTTTGCCAAAATACTAATCAATCATGCTGGTCAACAAACTTCCTTAAATTATGCTCCTTTGCAAAAACTCAAAACAAACTGATTTTGCTATAACCATTAACAGAAGTTCAACTTAAACAGCTGATAATATGCATACCTGGAAGGTGTACTGGAGACGAGGATTGTCAAAAGGTATTACATGAAAACATAGTGGCTCCCCCTGGATGCTTTCTATTAACATTAAGTTTGAGCACTGAAAATATTAAAAACAATAAACATCTTGTAGTTACAACATAATATATTCTCTTCCATGTCACTGCATTTCTTTTGCGACTTATAAAAGAATCTTTCGTTATACTTATTTTTATTATCTAGAAAACTATAACAAAGAATGAACTATGTCACACTATCCTACATAATCCATTAAAGAAATTTATTTTTATATTGTCTATTTCAAAGTATGTTTAAAATTAGATTTGTGTTTGCCTTTCTTATTCATTATAATATCATTAGGACATCTCAGTCACATTCTTTGCTCTTCTGTTTGAAATTATGACATCATCTTTCAATTCTAAGAGCTCTTCATAAAAGTCTGTTGTTATTGTGATAACATACAGTTAGTGATGACGCAGGAGACACACCAACTATTGTTTGTTTACAATTAAATGCTGAATGCTCTTCAGATCCTTTACTGCATCCAATTTAGGATATAAAATCTTCAAATATCTTTACATAGAAATGTGAAGCCAAAATTTCATTAACTCCTTTGTTGTTGTTTTTTTTTCAAATTTTTCTAAGACTGAAGTCTGTTTCATAGAACTCAACATGATGCATGTGTCTACAGCTAACATCAAATTTTTCTAAAACTGAAGTTGTTTCATAGAACTCACCATGATGTGTGTTTTGTAAAGAAGGATTCCTTCTTCTTTTTTCTTAGCTATGAGCAACATTTTATTAAAAAGAAAGAGGTGACGTAAAGCTTTGGCTCCAAACATACGGAAAGTACCCTCAGCCATCAACTCTCCATATGTTGTAAGGTCTTGTCCCTACAAATTCATTAATGTAACTCTGATGTATTAATTATTTCACTTCACATGACTTAAGTCATACCACCTAGAAGTCATTGATTCTACAACTTACAACAAAGTATATAACTGATACAAGGTTTGTGACACTGCATATATAAACTAACCAAAATAGCTATTTGCTTTGAAAATAATTTAAAACTACCTAATGAACTGTAAAAGTAAATAACTGTTTCACGAGTGAAGTAAACTGAGTAAGTATTAAAATAATTTCCTTTATGTTTTTATCACTTTTAAACAACCACACATTATACCAAGTAAGAAACAGTGGATTAAGTCTTTAATTCAATCAACAAATTAGTACCAGACTTAAGTTTCACACTGACAAATGTATTTTCTAGGTTTCATGAATTAAAATTATAATAAAATCAGAAAAAAACTAAATTTTCCAATTTTCTATTATGAAGTTTCTTGAAAACAAAACAATTCTATACAGCTATATTTGCCTAACATATTACTTGAACTGTAGGTTATATACACTGGAAGAAAATTCCATATTCATTGTTTTATTTTAGCATACTTCTTTTAAACCCACATGGTTTACAACCTTACAGTTTAAATCTAACTGCTTTAAATGCACACATTTTTTGTATCAAGTAACAGTTAGATTATCTGTTTTCAACAACTCTTAAGTATTACTACATTAAAAGAAATAATATGGTTAAAAACATGAGATGAAGCATTCTTAAAATTAATTTGAGACACAAAGCTTGAATTTTTCTCTGAACCCCTACCTCCCAGCTGTACAACAGTGACTGAATCTCTTGAACCCTGACAGCATGCTCATGTTTCTTTTTCATGTCATTAATGTGATAGGCTATTCCTGTCATCACTGACAGAGCATTCTTGATGTCAGGATAACCATCACTCTCCTTGTCAGAATGTTTCACAATGTTCTGTAAAAGAAAAAATAAGTACATACATATATATATCATTCATTTTAACATCCTACAAGCCCTTCACTACAAAATGAGATTCATAAAATATTCAAGCTTCAGTAGTATTAATATGTTCATCAAAATTAAATTTAAAGAATTAGTTACTTCCCTCTATCAGCACTAGCATGTACAAATTAGTTTGGAGGTCTCACATATACGGATTTGATAAGTCATTGTTTATGGAGAAAATTAGCAAAATATAAGAAAAAAAAAAACTTTGCAGGTAACACTGACATTATCAACAAATAATACTGTGATGTTATTAATTGTAGAAGAAACTGAAAATACCCTGTTGAAGAGCAGATTATATTATATGTAAACCTTCAAATACACAGCTCATGAAGAAATAAACCATGCAAATATGTTAATGATCTCAGACACATGAGCTGGTATTATGCTAGAGATCTTACACGTGGTACTATGATTAACAGAGTAGACAATAAGCTAGAGATCTTACACATGGTACTATGATTAACAGAGTATACAATAAGCTAGAGATCTTACACATGGTACTATGATTAACAGAGTAGACAATAAGCTAGAGATCTTACACATGATACTATGATTAATAGTGTATACAATAAGCTAGAGATCTTACACATGATACTATGATTAACAGAGTATACAATAAGCTAGAGATCTTACACATGGTACTATGATTAACAGAGTATACAATAAGCTAGAGATCTTACACATATACTATGATTAACAGAGTATACAATAAGCTAGAGATCTTACACATGATACTATGATTAACAGTGTATACAATAAGCTAGAGATCTTACACATGATACTATGATTAACAGTGTATACAATAAGCTAGAGATCTTACACATGATACTATGATTAACAGAGTATACAATAAGCTAGAGATCTTACACATGGTACTATGATTAACAGAGTATACAATTCAACAAAAAATGACAGGAGTGGGTACTAACTTAAGGAAAACAAACAATAAAATGAACCAATCACATTTTACAGAAGGTGGTACTACAGTAAAAACAATGATGTGAGGATTTCACTTTTAATAAAATGTAAAATCAGGTTAGGAGAATATAAAATATGTACTCACATTTAAGAGTAAATGGTATTTCAGTATCCTCTGAACTGGCTTCAGCAAGTACGAACCCAGAGGTAGACAGTGATGTAAAGCTAATTGTCTTTCCTGAAACACAACTAGTTATTAATGAAGGTTCTGGTTTTCATTCAAAATTGAACACTGACAAAATGAATTATTTTTCATTATCACTTAAGAAAATTCGTATTAGTCTTTAATTATTAGTGTAAGTTTAACCAATACAGAAACTAGTTTTATGAAATACTTTAAAAAGTAATATTCATTCATAGGTATATTATGTGTGAAGCAAACAAAATCAAATTTTAATGGGTTTTTTTTAAACAATAAGTAACACTATTATACATCTTACCTTGAAGACTTCTGCAGTTTCTAAAGTGTTCATTAGTTCTTTGATAACTGATACACTTCTGAAACAAAAAATTATATATTAGCATTAGAGAAAAAAAGAAGCCTGTAAATAATAATAATACCATAAGATAAACACAAATTTTGTATTACTTATAATGATACTATTTGCATAATTATCCAAAATTTAAGCATCTGTATTGTATTTTAATAATTAAAAAGATAAATACCTAGGTGTATGGCTTTAGAGAACAAATAAACATTTGTTAAATATTTATACAAGTACAGTAAACAATCAAATTAATCAACAAGCCTATTATTATATTCAACCTTTCTTGAAAATCACATGGAGGGAATGTAATTAGAACATTGCTCAAGCCAAATAACCTTTCATACATATAACCAGGTTAACAACCCTCCCCAGTGAAACGCCTGTCATATTTTTCATAGAAGCATGGAGATCACCTCTCGAGGAAGGAAACGAGTTTTGATAGATAAAGGTGTGTCTTTGCTCTTGTGAGTGAGGGAAGTATTTTACAGCTCTTCCTTCATGCAATTTCATCTAGTGTTCATTTCACTATTTGTTTAATCTGTTACAGATTACCTTACATGTAAAGGTCTAAATATATCTTAACTGTATTAACAAAAATTAGCCATGCTTTAGATGGCACACACTTTTTTTTCCCCCCTTAAGACCACAAATAACAGATAAAAACATCATGTGCACTTTGATTTTTGATAAAATTTTGGTATTTATTACTGTATCAATTACCCAAACATATTATACTTCATTCAAATTTCAAGAAACAGCATCAGTTATGTTACTTTTTACTTATATTTCATTTTCTTTACTTACTATAAGTGTTTAGAACCCAAAGGGTTCATTTGCTTATGGCAATGTTTATGTACAGTACAGTAACTAAGCACATTTTACAGTCACTATATGTTGCACAATCTACCAACTGTTTAAGGTTGGAGTATGTAGAAAGTTAAATGAGGAGATGAAAAGGTCTTTTTCTAATCTAGATAGCTCTTGCAAGAGGTACCCTTCCAATTGAACTTTTATTCCATTGGTTTGAGAATGTCTATTGATGCATTCAAAAGTATTTTCACACAAACATACAACTAAATTAATGATAAACTAAAACAAATCCCAGATGCAACTACTGGTGAAAGATAATATTACAGTGGTTACTTTGCAAAAATAAACACATTATGGGTAGTCTGAAAGACATATTATGGATAGCCTGAAAGATAAACTTACAGTGGATACTTTGAAAAAAACACACCCAGAAACACAGACTTACTATAGAAAGTTTATAGGGCAAGCTCACCATCAACAGTTTGGAATCCACACTTACCGTGGATAGTTTGTACAATAATGAGTGTAGATAACAAAGCCTGTGCTGTTCTTTACAAAGCAGCGAGCAACAGCAACGGGGTCCAGCCCACATTCTTCTAACTCTTCTAGAAACGTACTAAAGAACATACACAGTGTTATCAATGATAAAATTCAAAAACCAAAAATAAAAAGCCATTTCAGTTACCAATCTCTTTAAAAATAACAAATATTTAATTAAGTGTAGATAGTTTTTAACAATTAGATAATAATATAATTTGTAACAGTGGCCTATTTAAATAATAACAACATGAAATGATCCATCAGTCATGGAAACATATGCAGTTAACACTGACTCTCAACAGTAATACTTAAAATAACATATGTATTTAACACCATGACTATCAGCTGTAACACTTAAAATACCAAATTAGTTAACACCATCACTCTCAGCAGTAATATTTAAAATACCATATGTAATTAACACTGACTCAGCAGTAGCACTTAAAATAACATGTAGCTAACACTGTGACTCAGCAGTAGCCCTTAAAATAACATATGCATTTAACACCATGACTTTCAGCAGTAACACTTAACATATGTAGTTGACACCATCACTCTCAGCAGTAATATTTAAAATACAATATGTAGTTAACACTGTGACTCAGCAATAACACTTAAAATAACACATGAAACAATTTTAACACAACACATTTCATATGCAAAACATTAATCTTCTATTTCTAAAAATCAATAAACACACGAACAAGATTAGAATTCAGACTTAACTCTAGTAAGCACAATACGAACACACATATCTCTTTTTCCAATCTCACAATATAAATGAATGAGAAAAGTGCAACCTTCTAGTGATGTTTCTGTCCTGAATGTAATATTAAAATACAGATGCATATACATGTGTGTGTGTGTGTATATATATATGTGTATATATATTCAAAAATTCCACTAATAACTGAGAATTAAGTTTCTGCAATATTATTTTGTCTATCTATGTATATATTGCATAGTCATTACTTACTAAAAACACAGCTGTGTACTTACAAATAACTTGTAAGTTGTTGTTGGTGATATTACTCACTATTTCCAGTTTATTTAATTACTCGACCCACAACAGGATATTAAAAATGTATACTGTAGATGCACAACCTCCTATGCACACTAAACCTCCTAATACATCATGTGCCTCATTTAAAAACTAGTTCTTGGTATTATTATGTAGAGGTTGCTAGGGTTATAGATATATCTCTGACTACACAAGCACAAGTGAGTGTCAACATTACAGGGGGTTCATCATTTTTTATGTTTATCTAATGAAAAGGTGATGGTTTTGATAGACTGATATAACTAATGAGTCTGTACTCGATACTCATTACTAGAGAACACGTTATAGGTATTAATATTCATGCTGGTCACATCTAAAATGTGATTCATTAACGAGGGTGGTTATGTTTTAGATCAAGCAAACTAACTCAAATAACAATTTATGATGTAGGTTTAAATATAAAATGTTTTGAGTTTTAATTATAAAGATTAAAGATATAATGACTAGCTGTGTTATACCAGAAACAAAGTAAAAATATACACACATAAATATCAAATAACATAAATTAAATTAAGTTGATGAGCCAGCAAAAGCTAAGCTGGTCACAGAGTAAATGGGATGAAAAAAAAAAAAGAGATAAATAAGGATCTTGTTAACTTTGAGAAATTATATAGGATTCCCTTTTTGACTAATAATAATTCAGTAAATCTCATAAATATGTGCACATCAGGTTTTGTGTGTAACTTGACATTAATGCAATGCATAAACAATGATCATTCCATGAAAAGGAAGGAGAAAGAAAAAACAGTGTTACCTCTGAAATGAACTAAGTAACTGGAATACATTACAAATGTCATCTATACTAGGTTTGCAAATACAATTTATATTTTATTTCAACAAAAATTTTCTATACCTTAAGACTGATTCTTCTTCAGAAATGTTCACATTTATTCTCCTAATCTTCTTTTTAACATCATATCCCTTACCGGCCAAAAACTAGATCTATTTATATTCACAACTGTTGTTAAGGAAGAAGTATTAAGTAGTACCATACATGTACAACTTTTAAAGAAAATAATCTCTCTGAAAAAACATCTCCACTTCTACATCACCAAGTTGTGGAATTTTTGTACTGATTTTGTTAATATTTTCATCTCTGAACTACGATATTACTTTTTAAGTTAAGGATTGTTAGCTGGTATTAGAGATCTTTAATGAAGTACTTACCTGTTAAACCTGTATATATCTTCAATGTTTCCAAACAGTTCTTTAAGATTTCGTTCACAGACTTTCATGTCACCTGATTTCTGAATGTGGTGAAGATAACCCTATAATACCAAACACAGATTACTGCTGGGAATGAATAAACAAAGTATGAAAAGTTATACAACATTTATATATGAAACACCACCATTTGAACTTGTACAATCTGACTAGTAAGAAGAAACAATGATAATCAGAATTAGCAAGACCATAATGAATATCAAAATTCACACAACTAATCAGTTTCATCTTCATTAAATCTTTTGTAAATAACCATTATCCTGTGTTATGATTAATTCTCAGTATCATGATAAAGTTTTATCATGGACTTTCTGTCAGGTATTTCAATAGTGTTTTTTTTTCATTATAAATATGCTAAGTTAAAAAAAAGCCATTAGGTTTGACCCTCTGTAGGCTAATGAAAAAACAACCAATTCCCATGGTTGTACTGAAAACAGAGAATGACATAAAAACTAGTTCCAAATAGATTTAAAGCTTAGACATGATAGATTTCAACAGTAAGACGCACAGTGTAGAGAAAGTCAGGAAGACAGTAGTCCCACCCTTCCCTAACAGCAAATCGATCTTTGTCAAGATGTCGGGTGACATCACTTTACTAATGGTTGTAACATGACACTTCTTAACCTTAAAAACTGGTATGGTAAGAACTTATTCTAAATTTTAATGAAGTAGTTGTTTTTAACTAGGAAAGATGTGAAGGAAATATGCAAGAGAATGTTGAAATACTGTAACTCATCTTTCATGATAGAAAAAAAAAGTTCCTAAGAAAATGAAAGGGCAATGACTGATTTAAAATGGCACTTGTCTGATTTTTTCAAGCACTCTCAAACAATTAAGCTCAACTGCAACTTGATCTACATGGAGAAAAGTTAATGAGGGTCAGTGAGAAGTATGGGATTGTTTCTTTTCATATAGAACAATAAGAAACTGTCACTGAGAAGTATTAGGCTATTGCTTTACATAAAGAAAAGTAAGAAAGCTGTTGGGTAGTCATATACATCAAAATCAGTCTGAAATAACCACTGTGGGTTGTGAGTGTTGTGTTGGTTTTATACATACAAAATAGTCACTGATAAGTGTTAAGTTATTTTAATACAAACAGAATAGTACAGAATGGTTACTGGGAAGTGTTGTTTGTATACATACAGAATAGTATAGAATGGTTACTGGGAAGTGTTGTTTGCATACATACAGAATAGTATAGAATGGTTACTGGGAAGTGTTGTTTGTATACATACAGAATAGTATAGAATGGTTACTGGGAAGTGTTGTTTGTATACATACAGAATAGTATAGAATGGTTACTGGGAAGTGTTGTTTGTATACATACA